GGCCCACAACCAAATTTTCTTGTGACAGCATGTTCACGTCACCTGCCCCTAAAGCCAATTTTTTAATGACAGAAAGATCATGTCATCCACATTGTAGGTGTTAATATATACATATTTCTTTTATGGAAATAACAATTAAAGAGAAAAATTCTATTGACCAAAACCTAATTTTGAGAGCATGAAGTTTGAAAGTTGAAAGATTTTTTACAATAATTACATGGAATTTGTTCTGTTTGGCTTAAATAATACCTCATAAAATTTTGCAAAAATAGTTAAAAATAAATTGCCAATTAAAGAGGGTCCCATATTTCTTCACCAATAGGTAAAATTTATTTTTCACTATTTTATGGGTTCTTACGAATGTATTGCAAAATTCCTTACTTTGCAATGTTAAATAACAGTAAAATACACACAAAATTCTTTTTGTAGGGAATGATGACCATCAGTATAATCCAGTGTGACTGAGGCTTCTGAGGCATCCCTTTTTTGCCATTTTCCAGTTTGTGTTTGTCATTTGGTTTGCATTATCCAGATGCAAATTGACTGTTTTCCTTGCACAGACTCCATATTGTAGTCTTTAATCAGTACAATAATCATAACAATTTGTAACATTCTGTTATTTGTGTTTTTTTTTATATAATATTCAACTCTCAGTAAAACAACCTGTGCTACTGGCCATGGTGGCCAGGAATAAGATCCTGAGCATGGAAGCAGCATCCTCCCTGGAGCCGTCGCATTTCCAGTTATGGCTTATGGACATTACAATCCACACTCAATTATCAATGGAAATAATGCAAAAGCCCCTTCCCAAATTCCAAATGAGTAATCATCTTCCAAGAGCTTTATGCACGTGTGGCGTCTTTCCTGTTACCCCAGCCATCAGCCGAAATTCACATGATGGCAAGGTCATGTCACCACAGCCCACAACCAAATTTACCCATGACAGCATGCGCACATCACCCTCACTCAAGCCAAATTTTTTCATGATGGGATGGTCACATCATCCGGATCGTTGGATTAATATAAGTAGTTTCTTTTATGAAAATAGTAATAGAATGGCAGAGTCTTATTAACCAAAACCAAGTTTTGAGATAATTGAGTATGAAAGGGAGGATAGTTCTGGCTATCCAGTGTAAATTGGGAGTGTATTGGAATTTAGCAAGCTCAGCAATTGATCATATTTTAAAGTACATGCAAACTGTAATGTTCATTTTATCCACTGATAGTCCTGTGGTTAACCAAATGCTGCTAGGGATAGTATGTATATACATGTCATGCCCACTATTTAGTGTATCAATTTTCTTTACACATAGATGGCTCCACAAGTACAAAATCACCAATGTGCCAATTACAAGTACTACCTATCTCACCTGTTAACCCTTTATCTTGAATTACAAAAATATTTTCTGGTATCTGTGATATTGCTGTTAGTAATGTCAATAGCATTATAATAATTATAATATCTGTAATGATAATAGCATTGATATTGAAAGCATAAGTAAAAAGAAAATTTTCCCGTACACTTGAAGAAAGGTGAGATCAGGTGAGGTTACAAAGTTTATTAATTAACTCCTTTATGGCTAGGCACATGTAGAGCTATATATGTGCTGAGACATTTCTAAAAAACAATAATAAAATGAGCACTACATTTTCCTGGCAACATGGGGTTAATATGAAGGGCATGCATTGTTGCCATATATGTCACATGTTTTATAAAATAGGGCCATGAAATATGAATTTGATATTTGGTTCTTCAAAATGTTTAGAAGGAATCATGGCCATAGTAGAGTGGATTACCATTGGGTGCCTGAAATAGAATATTTGGAAATACTTCCTTTTACTTAACTTAATAATTTTCTCTTTTCAGGGTAATATGAGCAGTCTAAATGAAACGGTGAATTTTTCTCCTGGACAAATAGGCAGAAGACTTAGTAATAGCCGCCCACCGGGTGATACAGTGCCTCAGACAGAAAAATCAGAGGATGCAGGGAAGAATGCAAGTAGAACTGGGACTCCTCAGGAAGGTGGCATTATGTCAGGCACATCAGCAACATCCTTTGACCCTCAGGCGATAAACGTCCCTAAGAAAACATCATATTCCCACAGTGGTTCTGGAAATGATTATGTAATGCCAAAGCTGCAACCAAATTCCTCTGATGGCTTTATCCCATGTATCGAGCCACCCACATCAGCAACATGCACTAGGCCCTCTTTGGCTGCAGCTGCAAATGTGCCACAATCTTCAGGTACTACTAAACCTCCAGCTTTATGTGTTGCACAGCCAGAGGTCAGTTGCAGTAGTAATAATGTAAGGTCATTACCATTGCTTACACGCATATCAAGTGTCAAGAGAAAAGAAAGTCTGGAGCTATTTGATAATATGGATTTGAAAGTTCAAGTTAATGTAGATATTCCCGACCAAAGTGAAATTAGTAATCAAGATAAACATGCTGCTTCTACAGGAGATGAAATGAGAAAATCTAGTCATAGCATATCTGGCCTTCCACTTCATGCAGAGGAAACAAAACAAGGTCCCTCTTCATTGTCATCTGAAGGCCAGTATTCTGCTCCAGTAGTTCAAAGCTTGGAAACTCACAGAAGACAGAGACAGGGTTCAGGTGCCCACAGTGTGTCACACATTCAGCAGGATTCCAGCATGCGGTCTGAGGGTGATGCCTGTAGTAGGGCATCACCCTCTTTTCCAGTCCAACATGTTCATGAAATACCAGATGGTATTTCTGGCAGCAAACCTTTTAGTTCATCCAAAGAGGTATCAGCAAAGGTATCAGCAGAAAATCTGGGGAAAAGCATAGTTGAAGATAGAGCAACTGTAATGGGTTCCTCAAGTTTTTACCTAAATGGAAAGGGAGCCTCTGGATTTGAGAATCAGACCCCTTTTCAGGACCAACATGTAGAAACAAAGCAGCTACTACAAAATGTTAATAATATCAAAGTTCAGACTCCTGTATTAGGGCCATTTGAAACTTCTTGCATAAAACCTACCAAAGAACAGACAAATTCTATGGAAAAAACAAATGAATTTGATACTTACAAAGACAAAAAAGGGGAACCAAAAGATTGTGGCCAGACAGACCTGATCACCATTGATGATGAGTTTTCTGAAGGGGATGATATCATTGACCTTACACAACAGGATCCTGTACCTGATAGCTCTATTGAAAAAAAGACCAAAGATGGAGAACAAGATTTGATGGCCTGCTTTGTTGCCAGTTTAAAGGAAGAGGAAAAAGGGGAGACAGCTAATGAAGGATCTGCAAAGAGGAAGAGGAATACTGGAGAAGAAACAGTAAAGTCTCAAAGCTCCACCAGCGTTGGTTTCAAGGATGTAAAAAAGGCAAGATTAAGTGCACCAGCTGTCAGCAATTCAAATTTGATGGAAGACTCAGAAAGTGACAGTGATAGTGGTGTTCTTAAAATTCAGAGGAATTGCAAGTTGAAAAGGAGGATTGTAGTTAGTTCTGACAGTGAGACAGAAATGGAAAAATCAAAGTCTTTGAATGAACAAACACAACAAAAGGAACAATTTAGAATAAAGACTGAAATTAATGCTTGGGCAAAAAGAAATTGCCAGGTAGCCATTGAAAAGCTTCCGTCATCACTTGTTGAAGGTGCAGTGAGTGGTAAAGAAATAATTGATGATAAAAAGATTGGACTGACTGTGCACATTCCCCCTAAGGACAGCAGAAACAGAATTCTTACTTCAAGAGAGAACAAAACCTCTGAAAACACAAGCAACAAAGTTTCTTCCATGGGAAGGAAGCAAAATAGCAAAATTGATCTTCCCTGTAATAGGTTTGGTCTTGATGACGATGATGATGATCTTCCAGATCTCAATAATGAAGACTTCAAACCAATTCGTGGGTCAGTGTCCTCAGAGAATGTACTAGTGAGGAGAAGAAGTACTGAAGATGATGATAAAAGGAAGGGGAAAGATCCACCAAAGGCATGCAGGAATGGAAAAGGATCTTTTGATAGTCAGTGCAGTGATCCACCTGTAAAACACCACATAGGAAAAAAAGAACCTGAGCCTCCAAGCAAGAGACATAAGAGGCAGAACTCTAGGGATTCACAACCATCTGATGCACAAGAGACCAGAGATTCCCAAAAAGTAAGCAGAACAGATAAGAATCCCAAGTCAGCTTCAGAGGTCTCATTATTCAAGGCAGGCAGAAATTACAAAAACTCTGGGGAATCCTCTGATGAGGCTTCATCTAAAGGAGCAACAAAATGTGCTGTAGAAACCTCTGCTTCTGTTTTATCTGTGGCAGGCAGCAGTTTAACTAATGAAGATGATGACTACATCTTTTGTAAGCCGAGACCAGATACACTGGTCAAAATCAAGAAAGAGGTGGTGCAAGAAAATGTGGTAAACATGAAAATTAAAACAGAAAAAATAGATAAAGACCAATGGCATTTAAACATTAAAAGGGAGCCAGAAGAAAAGGGAAAGGAGTGTACAGAGAAAAAGAAATTTCATGATACAGGTGATGATGATGATGTTCTCATAATGTATTCTCAGGTGGATGAACCTATCTGGTTGTCTAGTGATGAGGAGGACTCTACCACGTCAGTGAATGCAGATGTGTCCTTTGGCCCACTTCCCCCAAGCCCAGAACTAGGCATAGAAGAATTATTTGCCACAGAAGATCAGCAGAAGGAGGCAGAAACAGTAGATAAGGCTAAGGGTAGTGCTGTTACAGAAATAGATATTGATGAGGATGATCAGTGGTTCCCTGTCCTATCTCAGTCATTCTGGGATGATGACACTGAAGAGATCAAAAAGTCATCCAAAATGGATGAACCAGTCCCAGGTCCAAGTAGTACCAGCAGCTGTGCTAAACAAAGTGATGAGTTGGAAGATGATGACAAGTGGCTTGAGCTGTCACAGGGATTCATGGATGATGATGCTGATTTTGAGGATAAGTCTTCCAAAGATAAAGATGTAACTGACAGCAGTTTAAAGTATCGCAGTGTGACTGTAGAAAAAAGCAAGAACAAAGACCCCAGGAAATCTCAGCTCATAGATCCAAAGATGCCTCCTGCTAGGACAAAGAGTGACAGCCTTCGGAAAAGGGGTCTGGGCACCAGTGATACTGCCAGCTGGTCATCTAAACGACGGGGTCAGGAGAAGGCACCAGACACAGACCACAGAAGACTGGAGGAATCTGCTGAAAAGCATACTAAAGCTAGAACCACAAAGATTATCACCCCACCCCAGAAGAGTTACAAGAAGAAAGGATCTAGTCTACGTGATAATTTGGCAGCAAAATACAACTTGCAGTCATACAAATCAACTGTAGAACAAAAGAAGGAAAACCATCATCTTGTCCCTCGACCTGAAGATGATAAGAAGAAAGAGTCTTCCCACAGGAAATCACACTTAGTTACATCAGAACCCCGGAAAGAGGAAAACATATCCGTACAAAAGAAGCCTTCTTATAAGGAAGGTGGGGACCAAGCAAAATCCAGGTCAACAGTTGCTGCCAAAGTTACCTCAAAGAATCGTTCAGATAAGCTCATTGACATCAACATATTTCCTTCACCTGAAGTGCCAAAACCCCAGCTGCGGAAAAAGTACAAAATCCCCAAAAATGATGCTACCAAGAAGGCAGATTCCAGTAATGATAAAAAAGAAGGAAGTAGTAATGTACTGGATGCAAGCACCAAGAGGACTCCTCCAGCACCTGAAATAAACACTTTGGAAAACATTGAAAGGGAGACCAGATCAACTCCTACACAAAAAGATTCAGAAAAGGTTACTGTAACAGGTGATGCAAAGGCAAGTAGCATTATGAAAGATACAGAGAAAGGAAATGTAAAGGCTAAGAAACGTGTTCATTTTCCAAGCCGGCTTGAAGATTTGGAGAAAGTCCTGTACATATCACCACGCAAAAATGCAGAGCGGTTAGGAGCATTGTCTGTTAAAGCAAAAGAAGTGTTACCCAAAGAACTCTTGTTTTTGAAGTACAAGATTCCCAACAACTATTTTGATCAGTTCATTTACTTTGTGTGCAGGTGGAATTATGACTGGCTTGAGAGCTACAGAGTCATGCAGGAGAAGCATGCAAATGGCAAGCTGAAAGAGGTGAGGCCTCCTCCTATTGTCCAGAACACCACCTATCCAACACTCATATTGTATGACTCATACAATGACTATAAAGAAATTTTCAGCACCCTGATGTACTATGAAGTATGGGAGCATGTTTACCAGGACTGGTTACAGTACAGAAATACCAATATGTGGCTGACAGCTCAGATTGATGTAATACAACCCCTGGCCGTAGATAGAGAAGTTAATGCCCCCAAGTTTTGGGTGGTAAAGGTGATCACATTGATCACACAAGAACAGAGCAACCGAAATTACCATCCTAGGCAAGGTTCTCTTGTAGCTTTAAAGCTACATGAAGGAAAAAGAAGAGTTGTAATCTTGGGCTATGTTGACAACATCATCAAGTCCAGAAAAAGGAATGTTACAAAAGAACTGGATAAGATGGTGCCACAGGGTGAAGTTTGCCTTCTTCTCTGCATGCGTGTCACCAAGGACACCATCCAGACTGTTCAATTAGGCAAGATGATATATGTTAGCAATGTCTCGTATATCCGCCCTGCTACAAGAACTTGGGAAGGGTTGTGCAAACTCCCTCAGTCTCCTTTGTGTGGTGACATACTCAAGCCATCCGAAGAAGTATTCAAATGTAGTCAACACCCTGGAGAGTACATCATTCATGATATGCCTCTCAACAGTGTGCAGAAAAAGGCTGTTGTTGAAGTAGGTAGTAAATGCACTGTTGATGAGCTGGTGCCAAAGATCAGCTTGATTCATGGTCCACCAGGAACAGGTAAAACACGAACTATAACTGCCCTCATAGCCCAGATAACAAAGTCTAGCCGTGAAAATAAAAAGCCATGTAGAATTCTCCTGTGTGCCCCATCAAATGCAGCTGTGGACGAATTAACCCTACGTCTTATCAAGCTCAAAGAAATTGGATTGTCCCTCCGCCTGGTGAGGGTTGGCGTGAAAGAAAGCATAAGTACAGAGTTAAGGGAATATACTCTAGATTCTTTTGTACAGAGACAGGTTAAGATTGAACTTTCCACTCCAAAAAATGTATCAACCCGACAAGAATGGGAAAGGAAGAGGTACATGGTAAAGCAGGCGGCAGATGCATTGGAAAAGGCAAGGAAAGAGAATAGGAGTAAGGATGAAATAAAGGCAATGGAGACTCGTTTAAATGAGTTAGTGAGAGGAAAAACAGAGTTTGAAAGAAGCTTCCATTCCCAGCCTAATTCACAGGAACGATTTAAACTGCAGCAGAAGTGGCAGGAGCAGTTTCTTTTGGGAGCAGAGGTCATTACCGTGACATTAGGAGGCTGTGTCTCAGGTGTGATGCAGGAGGTCCTTGGCAAACTGCCTCATGCTTTTACATGCTGCATCATTGATGAAGCTGGACAATGCAAAGAAACTGAAACATGGCTTCC